ATTAGATGCCATCATGGGATGCTCTGGGACAACTGGCTGCCAGGAAAAGGTCAATCAACATTTTGTACCAGCTGTGCCACTTCCAAGTTGAGAGGCTGCAGGCAATCTCTTCACCTCTTATTCTTCGGTTATCTTGGTTTTCTTATCTGTAAATAAAAATATCTAAAGGTTGTAGGCTTCTAAAGTCCCTTCTAAGGCCAAGCCTTTATCATTCTATCTTCCCTCTTCTCTTCCTTTTTTGTAGTAGCTCTGCTTTCTTTATCTAATCAAGAAAGGTTCAAATAAAGGGAGCCATTGTCAAGATGCCTAAGAAGAAATCAAACCAGGTGGACAGACTAGGGCCCAGGAAGCGGCTAACCTCCACCCATAAGTGTACTTCCTTCAGTTTCTTCTCTTCTTTCCCACTTTTTCCTGTTCCTTGTTTGCTTTCCCTTTCTTTTAAAGTTTGAAACAGTGAAGGGAGAAATATTCTGGCTGCTCAGAACTCAACACATCCGTCTTGCAGTTTGCCCGTGCATAATGGAGAAATCCTCTTGTCCTCAATCAAGTGCAGCCATTGTGATTTTCTGTAAAGGAAACAGTCGTCACTGTTCACACGGGCCCAGTTGTTTATATGTAATTCATTCAGTGTTGCATTTAGCATTCGAGACTTCTTTAAACCTCCTAGCCCAGGATCCATTTAGTTTTAGAAATTAAGCCAAATTCCTTCTTCCCATAAGTGCCTTTTCTTATTCCTGGATAAAATCAATAAACCATGAAATGTATGTATTGAAAAATGATATGACCAAGCTCTCTTTGAGAATTCAGGGGTTAAAATGTGGTTTGAGGCTTAAAGGCCCATTAAGGTACTATTGGATTATGGTAAAATCCTTCTGAATGTGAAGTTTTCTACATTTTGATTTGGAAATGTAATTCAGCTCCAGGTCCTTAAAATCCAGATGTGAAATACTGCTTTTAGGATACATTAGTGCTGAGGAAGGCAGTGGCATGATGTCTTGAAAATGATTCGTTTGGCCTCTACTTTTAATGACCTCGAATGAGGACTGTTTTCCCACTTGGCACCGGGAGAAAGTGATAACGTATCTATCAACAAGGGAGTGGTGTTATTAAATTAATACATGGCTCTATGGCTCGGGTAAAGTATGCATGAATTTTCTTCAAAATCTACCACCTCAATTTGGAAATATGCATCATAAAATGTTGTTTGGGAAACTCCACGTTATGAAGATTGCCCAGATTTCACAGATGAGGAAACCAGGGCTCCAAGAGGGAAATGACTTGTCCAAGGTCACACAATGGCCACACTTTGATCAAACTGGGGAAACTGGCATTCAATGAGCATGACGTTTAGCACTTTGCAATACTCAGAAAGATTTAGCTCAGATTTTTTTTTTCTTTGGAGCCATAGGTAAAGACTGTGTTATAATAAGATGGGAGAGATTATACAGATTGAGGCTCAGCTGTGTCACTTACAGCCCAGGATGACTAGCAAACCCCTAACTCTTCTAAGCTTTAATTTCCTTGCCTGGAAAATGGGATTCATGGAGATGACAAGGACCATGGGTAGTGGTAAGGACATAGTGCACCAGCACAGGAAAGCTTAGCTTCATATATGGCGGGGTGTTTGATGAAGCTCTGGAATCATTGTAAAGGGGCTTCTCAGCCACACCTTTACTAATTCAGAAATTAAGATTTTATAAGTGGAGTCAATAGCCCCAGAGAAAAATTCAGGTTTTGTATTGCCATATATTGCCAGTAGTCTGTGTCTAATTTTTAAGGCTTGAAAAATGACATGCAGGGTTGCCCTGTATGGGGAGTTCATAATAAAATCCTCCAAAAAGCATCTCTCAACTGATCCAAGACTGATGAACATAATGGCCATATGGACATGTAATAGAAATTAAAGAGTTTTTGAATATAAATGCCTGGTACTCAGAAAGCAACCAGCAAATGTCTGTTGAATTAAAATTACATTGAACAAGGCAGTAGGGATGTCTTGCCACCAGGTTTAACAGAAATCAGAAAACAGACACTCCATTTAAACCTTCTAATTCCATAGAGCAGGGATGACAAATATCACTTTCATATTCCATGCCCAGGCAGACATGACTAATCCATCCCAGCAGTCATATCTCCCAGCCTTATATTCATTTGTATGTGTGTCTCTCCCATTAGGTCGTAGGCCCTTAGAGAGAGCTGACTGAGTTCTGTTTCTTCTTGATCAGGGCTTTTAGCAGGGCTCACATAGAATGCAAATGCTTGCTAGATGGATGAGCTCAGAGAAGTTTAAGAGGTTTCCCAAGGCTACCCAGGAAGTAAGTCTGATCTGCAGCCACACTTCCTTCCCAGGTGGGGAGAACTGGAGTGTACTGGTGTTGTGGAATAATATTGTAAGGAGCTGATGGAAGCCTTGTATAAACTGAAACATAATTTACATGCAGTAAATGCAGAACTTTTAACTGTACAGTTGCATGAGTCTCGACATATGAATATACCCATATAACCACCCCCTAGTCAAGATATCTGTCATTCTAGAAAGTTCTTTTGTACTCCTTTCCAGTCAGTCCCTCTCCAGAGACAACCTGTTTCAAAACTTCGTGACAGTGAATCCTCAAGTGTGTTCTCTTTAGTGTCTGGCTTCCACTCATCATAACATTTTGGAAATTCATCTGTGTTGTGGATCCATTCGTAGTTTCTTCCTTTAAACTACCAAGTGCTATGCTGTTGCGTGAATGCACCACACATTGCTTATCCATTCACCCAGAGGCGTCTGGGTTGCTTCCAGTTTAATCTGAAATGGCTCCGTGTGGTCCCCTCCCGCAGGTGTAAGCATCCTTGTGTAATCTCCTCCATTTGTGTGGGGGCCACACCCACTGCCTTGCCTTTAACAAAGAAAGGGATGAGATGTCAGCTCTGCATTAGGTGTTGAGGGGCTGTGACTTCTGCTGTCTCGCTTATTTTTACTTTCCCACCCACCCACTCTGATGAAAGCAGCCACCTGGTGTTGTAAGCCAGAGTTGCATGTGGCAGGGAATTGAGGAAGGACCTAACCAGTAGCCAGGGACGAACTGAGGCTCTCAGTCTGATGGCCTGCAAAGACCTGGACCCTGATGCAGCCACACGAGTGAGTGTAGAAGCAGATCCCTTTCAGTGGAGCTTTGAGATGACAGCTGCCCTGACCAGCACCATAATTGCAGCCTTGTGAGAAATCCTGAGCCAGAGGACCCAGCCAAGCAGACGCCATGAGACAATACATACGGTTGTTCAAGGGACTAAGTTTTGGGGAGATTTGTTACACAGCAGTGGATAACTAATACAGAGTTATTGTAAAAAATACTACGGAGATTCTTGAACAGATTTTTTTTTTGGGGCATTTGTTATGTATATTTAAAAAATATCCCATCATCCCTTTTAACTCCATGGTTATCACTACTCATCCTATCCATTCAAACTGAGTTATGAGGCACTCATTACCCTGGGGGAGGGTTGTCACCGTGGCACAAAGGCATTGCATTTTTTACTTTGAGTTTTTGTGAGTTTACAAAGCTGAGGTCAGAGAGAAGAAGAAGATCCAAGAGACTGGCTTGTCTCATCTAGAAGAGGTAGTAATTCCCTGGGTTAGACAAAGATGGAGAGCCCAATGGGAGAAGCTAGAGCCTGGTGGGACTCCAAGAAGTGTCCTTGTCCTCTGCTGCTTCTCCCCTGTGGAGCTTCAGTGATAGATCCTCTGGATACACTCAGAGATCTGGAACAGAAGGGACTCATTTCTCCCAGCCTTCCATTCCTAGCTGGGTCCCAGGAGAGCTCCAGGTCCCAGATAATGCCTTTGCTTGGGTGAGTACCATAGGCAGTGGCAACCATGGTAATGAGGTCTGTTGAGGCACAGAAGGCTTCAGACAGCTCCAGTGGATTTTCCGTAGCCCCAGGGAAGACAATTACAGTGACCAATATTTTACCTTTCCCAGAGACTTCCTGAATGGGAGCAGGGACAGATACTGTTGACTAGGTACCCGTAAGAATGAGACTGCATAGCAGATGCTGAAGAAGACAGATGATTGCCAAGAGTTAAATCTCCCCTCCCTACCATCCTTGGAACTTAGACACAGCTTGAAAGAAGATAGGATAAGAAAATGCTGAAGTCAATGAACTCACCTACATTTACTAAGATTATTCTATCATTTTTGCTGGAGGAGCTTGACAGAAATTAAACTGAATTTCATACAATTAAAGAAAATGACTTTTTTTTTTAAAAAACATTTGAGTTTGTGGCACATGGGTGTCTTATCTGCTACCCTGGCACTGTTCAAGCTTATAGTGGCATTGGTGAAATCAACGTGGTAAAAGAAGGCACTAGAACAGGAGTTGGAGAGGCCATGAGTTAACTGCCTCCTTTTCATGCTCCAAGATTTATCTTTAGAAAACTTGACCCTGTCTGAGTTTATTAGCAGCTACTTGGTGCAGCCACTGGAGATTCCCAAGTTGTTATCCTCACTTAGGGACATAGTAAATTATCTTTTGTTTGGAATAACTTGTTTGCCCTGGAAATTTGTCACTATGTCAAGGAGACCTGCATTATAGGACCAGATGTGGTTCCTTTATTCACCGAGGCCCCTGATCTCAACATTTACAGAAGATGGGCCTGTGATGTGGTCTCAGGACCTCAGATCACCTCAGTGTGCAAGATGCCAAGAAAAAAATCAAAATGTAGAGCCTCCACTGTATCCCAATAGAATAAAACGTGCCAATGCTTTGAAATCACACAAATTTGGCTTTTAATGATGGTGTGGAAGATCCTTAAGTTTTATTTTCCCTCTGATATAGATACAATCCTTCAAATGGACTTGGCATGAGATTAAAATAAGAAGAAAGATCAATGGTTAAAAACATAGGCTCTGTAATCAATATCTAGGAGTATATACTCTGCTTACCACATATGTGTTTCTTTGGGCAAATGACTCAACCTCTGTCTTTTTTTTTTTTTTTTTTTTTTTTTTCTCAGTTTCAAGGTTGAGTTTAATAGTACAGGTAGAAATAGGATCTAGGGATCAGATTCTCACATTTCAGGTTAATGATATCTTCCCAAAGGAGAAAAATTATTTCTTTTGGTAGATAACATTGATAAATCATTTTTCAAATATATAATATGAATTTCCTTGAAAATCTTTGGCATTTGTGAGAGTCTTTGTAGGCTAAGGTTTTTAGGCATTTTTCCCCCCAAAATATATAAAGTTGGGGGAGCTAGCTTTAAAGTTAAACAAAAAAATTAATCTTAATTTCAAAATGACGTGAGTTCATTTTGCATTCAAATAAATCAAATGTACAACTTGAGTATTCTGAAACATAAAAGGTCACCATACTTCATAGAGTTCACACACATGCATTCTACAGTGATATTTATATTACCAGAACTTATCTCACACTTACATAAAGGATAAAATAAAATGTCTTAGTCAAGTTTTTCCATAAGCCCAACTATTTGAAGATGTCCAAGTTATTACAGTGGGATGAATAATTTATATATCATACAGTATCAAGTGAGTCCCATATTCAAGTATTTATAATATTCACCCCATGTGAAAGTTTCTTTGCACTGGCTAAGACGTGAGCTGTGAACTTGATATTGCTCAGTTTGGTATTTTTCCCTGTGTGTATGTTTTCCATCACAAAACCTCTATCTCACAATTCTGCACTTGTAAGAGCTCAGGTAGGTTTATGTAGTCAGAATGCAGTAGTCTAGAACATACTATGTTAAAGTCAAAACTAAAATTATTTTCAAGTTTCTTTGTTTTTAAAGTGCTCTATGTGCTGTTATCTCAATTTTCAGGTTATAGAAATTCGTTATGACTAGCAATAGTTTTATAAAAGATCAGCAGTTAAGCAAGAATGATTTCAAGTACCTATACACAGATTAAGAGAGCATAAATTCTTTAGGCACATTCATATTCAAATATGAAAAAATCCACGAGAGTACATAAGAGAGATGGCAGAGGTGTTTAGAAGGAATGTCAGAGTGTCAGGGACTAATTGGTAAGGTAACTAGTATGTAAACTCAAAGTGGTTTTGAATATTTTGGTAACAAATATTTGTCCAAAAAACCCAAAAACATAAATACTTAGAGCTTATCAGAAATAAAATACAAAACAAGTCTGTCCAAATGTTCAGAAGCTGCATAAAAATATTTTTTGAAAAATTTCATGCCTAATAGGTTGCTTCATCCATGTTGTCATCACTGTCTGCTCCAAAGTCATCTCCATCTTCAAAGTATGAATGAATGTAGTCATTTTCCTCTTCTTGGTCTTCTTCATCATATTCCTCCTGTTCTGCAGCATCATCGTCTTCGTCATCCTCACCTTCTTTACTTTTCTCTTTGCTTCCTTCTTTCTCTTCATTTTCCTCATCTGATTTTTCACCATCACCTCTCTTTTCCAACTCCTCAATTTTTTTCAAAACATCTGCAGTATTAGTGAGTGAAGTGCCTTTGCCTGCGTCTTTTGCCTTTTTGGGTTTGGGGCCTGCTTTTTTACATTTATTCCTTGGCATCGTCTCTCTTGGAAGTCTTCTCCAATCTGGTATCTATTCTTCCTTGTACACTTTCATGTATCTTTTACTATACCTTTCGATATCTTGTCTTTCTTCAGGTGTTTCAATAAAGTAAGGCATTCTTTTCATTGTTTCTCTCAACTCCTGTTTCAAAGCCAGCATATATTCTTCACCTTCTCCTGTTTTCAGTGGCACTGGTTTATAATCTGTATCAGGAAATAACGGGGGTGGTTTCAACACTGCATCAGGTAACTTTTCACCTTTGCTAAATCCAACAGCTTCAATATTAAAGGTATAAGCAGCACGTCCTCTTCCTTTATTCCCAGCCACCAGAACCAGTTATACCAGACGAGTGGGCAAATTCTGAAAGGCACTGCTCCCTAAGTCTCGAAGCGTGGGCAAAACTCTGCAGTGGAAGTGCCAGCCGGCAAGGAAGGGGTGCTGGCAGAGGATGCCGGCGCTCCAGAGCCGCGGGTTCCACCGCGGGGGAAGCGCGCACCGCCCTCCATGCGGTCCCAGAACTGCAGCCTGAGCTCTGCAAACTCAACCTCTGTCTTCTATTTCCTTTGAAAAGGGACACTAATAATATCTGTCTTATATAATTATGTTGGGATTTGGAGATGTATGAACACATCAAATCCTTGTTCCTTGATGAAGTTTTTGAGACTAATTGAGTATTGGACACAGAAGTCAGGTAGATGGAGATGAAATCATCGCCTTTAGGATCTTCATCGGCTAGGCTGGAGGATGTGCTTGGGTTCATGGCAAGCTAACAACAGTGAGCTGTGGAACGCTGAAACCAGATGGAGAAAGACTATCTTGTCAGACACAGGCAAGCAGAGATGCAAAGCACGCTGCCACTTAGTAGTCCCAGAAGGAGTAAAACTTAGGGAGTAGAAGGACAGAGCTCAATGAAGACTCTCTGCAAGCGGTCCATCCCAAAGAGAGGCAGAGAAAGGGACAAAGCCACATATACTCTGTTCTTCTCCCCAAATCCTTCATCAATTAAGTCATTCTTCCTGTCTTGGACGGTATAAGGAGGGGAAGAAGGCCACGAGTGGTGTGTCAAACCAAGGGCTTTCCCCTGTATTAGATGATTTTCACACTGCTGATAAAGACATACCTGAGACTGGGTAAATTATAAAGAAAAAGAGGTTTAATGGACTCACAGTTCCATGTGGCTGGGGAGGCCTCATGATCATGGTGGAATGTGGAAGGTGAAAGGCATGTCTTACATGGTGGCAGACAAGAGAGAATGAGAACCAAGCCAAAGGGGTTTCCCCTTATAAAACCATCAGCTCTCGTGAGATTTATTCACTACCACAAGAACAGTATGGGGGAGACCACCCCCATGATTCAAGTGTCTCTCACTGGGTTTCTCCCACAACATGTGGGGATTATGGGAGCTACAATTCAACATGAGCCAACCCATATTAGCCCCAGAACACAAGGAGGAAATTATGGTTTCCCTAATAGACCATGGACAGTAAATCAAATGCTTACCTGAGAGGAGTTTAGCATGGTACAGAGTGTTTGGCAGATACACTGAAAATCTTAGCTCCCTGCCTGAACATTCATGCTCTAGAATTCTTACAAAAGGATTCAAAATCCTGCTACTCGGAAGTAAATTAAGAGCTTGCTACATTGCTGGGTCTACCAGTGTCTCATCTTTTTTTCTTTCTGTATTTTATCATTTAGAAAAAAAGGGAAAGCACATTTTTTGAGGAACTGGACTCCCAGCGTGCTTGAGGACTCTCTGCAGCATGTCAAGCAGATATTGACTTTTGAGCTACACCAGTGCAGCACGATCAATGTCCACCGTTCCTGGCCCCCGGCTCTTTCCCTTGCAGAGCTGGCTCGGCTCTTAGCCATGGGGCTTCGGGGGGCACTGAGTCATACTGTTCTCCACTGCACAACAATGTCAGTGCCATCGCTGACAGCACAGATATCTATACTAGCAGAGCAGAGGGAAGCCCTGTGGGGGTCAAGGAAGGCCACAGCGTCTTCTCCAGCTGGGCTTTTGCCAAGAGCCTCTTCTGGGCTCCTTTTCTTCTTCAGATCGTACTTTTCACTGGCATCCCGCAGCCACCCCTGCCTGTGTTCAAGTCTGGAGAAATAGCAGGGAAATTGATGTCCTGAGCTGTGCCTCTGAGGAGGCTGAGAAGCCTCCTGTGTGTGTGTGTGGGCATATGTGTGTGTGCATGTGTGCCCGTGTGTGCTTGTGTGCTCCTGTGTTCATCTGCTGCTGACTGCTTGACCGACTCTCTTTCTACTCTTTCAAGGCCAACAGCACAGTAGGGAAGAACAGTAGGAGCTTAGGAGCCAGATCATCAAAAGTCAAACTTAATCACTTAATCTCCTTATAGCCTGGAACAAGTGACTCCTTAAACCTCAGTTTCCTCATCTATAATATAGGAATGATAGCACCTGTCTCTGCAGTGTTTATAATATATAGAGAGCATTTTAGAGGGTGAGTATGAGACAGAGGATTAGGAAAAGTAACTAGTGGGTACTAGGCTTAGTACCTGAGTGATGAAATAATCTGTAGCACAAACCCTCATGACGCAAGATGACCTATATAACACATCTGCACTTACAGCCCTGAACTTAAAAGTTAAAAAAAGAAATAAAAAGAAGTATGCATTAACTATGCTGCTGGGTTTTAAAAAATTAGTCCCCCAAAAAACAAGTAAAAAAACAAGTAAGTATGCATTAAATATACTGCTGAGTTTTAAAAAAATTAGTCTCTAAAAAAACCCCAAAATAAAAATGAAACATATAATACTTGGCACATAGTACCATCAATAAAGTTTGGCTTTTTCTTTTTATATACATTAATACTGTCATTTCAGAATGAATTTGAAATGTTTTATAAAACGTATGCAGAGGAAATCATGTATTTAAACAAAAATCACCATTAAAAGAGAAATGGGAATAAGAGTAAGACGTGGATTACGGCAGGTACAGTTTAGCACAGAAAGGGTAGCTGTGGTGAGAAGGGATGGCAGATGAGCAAGAGTTTTTTTTTTTTTTTTTTTTTTTTTTTTAGACAGAGTCTCACTTTGTTGCCAGGTGCCAGGCTGGAGTGCAGTGACTTGATCTTGGCTCACTGCAACCTCTGCCTCCTGGGTTCAGACAATTTTCCTGCCTCAGCCTCCTGAGTAGCTGGGACTCCAGGTGCATGCCACCATGCCCAGCTAATTTTTGTATTTTTGGTAGAGATGGGGTTTCACCATGTTGGCCAGGATGGTCTCGATCTCTTGACCTCATGATCTGCCCACCTCAACCTCCCAAAGTGCTGGGATTACAAGCATGAGCCACCGTGCCTGGCCAGAAATATTTTTAAAAAGCAGATTGTAAGAGCATATATAGTTGTTATAATAAGTTGTCAATTTGGTTCTGAGCTTCCTGGCAGCCAAATCAAAAAGGAAAACCATTTAGACCACGTGATATAACCTTAACCGAAAATTTAAAAATTAGAAGATCTAGCTTATATACTTTATGTCCTGAAAGATCAGATCACAAAGGGAACAGCATAGGATTCTGGATTGTTCAACATTGCCTTTTGGCTTTGTTAAGTGTGTATGTGGGGGTGGGTAGGCAATGAATAGCTGTTTGCTCAAGTACATTTGTTCATCAGTCATCAGGGCATGACCTATTATTCTGAAAGTCATTTCATTTTGCTCAAGTTATATACTTCACATTTAAATGTTACTAGTTCCTATGTCCCGCGGCCTGTTTTACTTCTGATCTTGAAACAGTTTGTAAAGGGAAGTTACTGTCCTTGGCTTTGAAAGTGAAGTTCTCCAGATAAGTACGTTCCTCCTACTCCCACTGAAGGTGAGGAGAGACCTCCCAAAGTCGTTCATGGCAGTACTGGCCCCTTCTGTTCAGCCCCAAGTCGGTCCTGTGAGGCTTATACCTCTCCTTGTCTTCTGAATTTGGGTCTGTTTCCCATGAGCAGCTCTTGGGTTCTCTCAAGTCAGCCCTGGTGTCTGGCCTCCCTGTTTCCACTCATGGCTCCCCCTTCAGGGCTTGGATTGGAGTGATCCTCGTTCGACCACGGTCAGTCTCAGAATGGGAATGCTCATAAAGTATCATTGGAGACTCAGCCCGGCACTGGATGCCACCCTCTGAGTCATCAAGGGCAAAGGTTCTGAGACACATGGGAAACAGGACATCAGAAACCCATGCTGATCCTGGGAGTGACTCTAAGAAGAGAGGTGTGGTAGATGTCTTTTCACAATGGCTCTGAATGCTCCCTTTTCCACTTTGTATCTGTAGCAATCATAACCAAGTACTGGTTATTTGCAGCTCACAGATTGCAAGGATTACCATGGTTCTGATAACAGGCCTGCCCTTGGTCTAGTTGAGTTGAGTGCATGTGTGATCAGAAGCTGCTTGTGCCCTATAATTCGCTGCCGTGTTTGTACTGAAGCCAGGCCCTCCACTGTCTGCTCTCAGCCAGTGAGACACCACAGGGATGCTAAGGCCAGTTGCTCCAGAGGGATGCAGGACTCCTCTGATGGGTGGTTTTGGCTGGAGAACTCCCCAGTGGCCTTGCCAAACTTTCTTTAGTCTACAAAGCAGTCTAAGATGCTACCGCCCAAACTTCCTTCAGCTGGAACACCTACCTGTGGCCTCTCCAAGTGGCCTGGGCTTCTACACAGCCTGGTAGGCTCCCACAAAAACACCTTTTGAGGAAGCCAGGAAGACACTGTATCCCCTAGTATGACCTAGTCTTGGAAGCCACATGGTATCACTCCACACATTCTATTCATTGCAAGCAAGTCACTAAAGCCCACCCATATTCGGCGGGGAGAAGAATTGGACTCTACTTCCTCATGGGGAATGTGTCCAAGAATGTGTGGACATGTTTGAACTCACACAAGGAGTGTCGTGTTTGCTCTTTTCAGAAGTCTTCTGGTTCAAATCTGTGGGGTGGGGATGGGCCTCCTGAGGTTCTATATTCATACGCTGAGATACTTTTATAAGGGGTGTGGAGGTACAATTAGCTCTGAGTAGCTTCGTGGTCATCACAGATTGTCTTGTTACTAGTTTGCTTGTCCCTTGCCTGCTGTTAATGGGTTTGTTTTCCTGGCACTCAGAACAACAGCCACGTGGTTAGTTGGTGGAAGATGTAGGCCTTGGACGATCGTCTCCTCACTCTCATTCTGGGTCTCTTTCCATAGTGCTGGGATGAACTGAATTCTATGCTTCTCCCATCATTTCACCTTGCTGGAAAAACCGACTAATGAGAAAACCAGGGACCAGATGCCTGCCTGCTCTAGGCATTGAGACTGATCATGTCCAATGCCACTGAATGTTCCTCCTCA